AAAAAAAAAAAAAAAAAGAATACTCCAGAAAGCAAGAAGGAAACCAAGATTAATTAATTTATTTCAAACAATTCTAGGCATTGGTAGTGGGAGCAGAGAACAGGACAGAAGAGGAACTTGTTCTCATGGAGGTCATAAAGTAGTCAGGAGACAGACAATAAAGTAACCAATAAACAGGACAGTCAGAGAGAGAGGCAGTCTCAATGAAGATTGAAGCAGGATTTAGGAGATAGTGATGGGAGTGACTAGATGCATGAGCAGGAAGGCCTCTCTGAGGAGGTGATATTTGAGCAAAGACTGGAAGCGTAGGGGTGAGTTGTGGAAACATCTGGTGTGTGTGTATGTGTGTGTGTGTGTGTGTGTGTGTGTGTGTGTGGTGGGGGAGAGTAGTGTTCCAGGCAGAGGTAATTGCTAACTTAAGGAATGACATGGAGGCTGGAATGACTAGAGTGGAGTGAGTGAGAGGGAGGCAGGGGTGAGGTCTGGTAGGCACCTTGGTCTTAGAAGCCATAGTAAGGTGTTTGGGTTTTATCCTCAGTGTAAGGGAAGCCTCTAGAGGGAAAGAGCAGTGGAGACTGGTTGCAGTGCAGAGTGTTAGCTGTATACGTGGGCAAGAGGGGCAGCAGGGAGGCCAGTTAGGGTGCATTGGGAGCAATCCAGAGGAGAGCCGTGGAGGCTGAGACCAGTGTATAGCAGTGGAGGTGGTGAGAAATGATCAGATTCAAGATAAATTTTTAGGTAGAGCCTGCACGATTGGTTGATGGTTTGGAAGTGGAGAATGAGAAAACAAGGGTCATGGATGACTCCATTGTTTGGGGCCTTTGCATCCAACTGGATGGTAGCACCATTTACTGAGATGGGAAGAACTGGAAGGGATAGATTTGAGGGGAAATACAAAGTTCAGTTTGTAATATGTAAGTTTGAAATTCCTGTTAGACAGACCAATTGAGAAGCTGTGAAGTTGAAGAGTAGTTGTATGAACCAGTCTAGAGTTCAGGGGAGATCTTGAGGCTCTGGATAAAAATTTGAATTATGATGCTTTCTTGGTATCATCACAGGATTGATCATGTCCTAGCTCTCAGTCTTGCTGCATCTGGAGGATATACTGAGGCTATGTCCTACACTTATTAAAGGTTTGCTATTTGCCAAGGGTTTCACTTGTATTATTTTTATTGAATTACAAACAACAATGAGGTTGGGATTATTTTTCTTCTCGTTTTTCAGACTGATGCATAGAGAAGTCATATAACCTGTCCTAATTTTCACAGCTAGTCATTTGAATATTTAGGACTTGAATCCTTATCTACTGATTCTAAAACCCATGCACCACTCCACCAAACTGCCTGTTATTTGACCCCTGTTTTCCAGGAGCCCCCTTTAGCCAGCTACTTTCTGATATCTGGACCCAAGAAGTCAGGAAGCTTTATGCCTATGCTTTCTTCTAAGAGTTTTAAAGTTTTAGCTCTAACTTTTAGGTCTTTGATTCATTTTCAGTTAATTTTTACATATCATGTGAGGTAGGGTTCATTCTTTTTTTGTGGATAGCCAGTTGTCCCAGCATTGTTTGTTGGAAAGACTTTGCTTTCCTCTATTGAATTGTCTTGACAACTTTGTTGAACATCAATTGACTGAAAGTGTGAGGATTTATTTCTGGACTCTCTTCTATTCTATTGATCTAGATGACTGTCCTTATGCCTGCCCTAGCTTTTCCTGCCACATTTTAGAAAGCTGACTTTAACCTAGACTTTTGAAGATACCTTATCCTGCATTTTAGAACATCTTTAGATAGACCGTAGCAGGTTTTAAAAATAATAACTTACAAAATTCCTCCTAAGTTTGGCTCTAAAATACTGATGCCTTTACTCTGCTGTTTTAAGGCTTAAATCAAGCAACTTTAACCAAATTTCAAATCTGGCATGATACATTTCTTTCAAAGATCAAAACAAAACAAAACAAAAAACCATGCCATTGAGTTGATTCTGAGAGTAGAACTGCCCCATAGGTTTCTAAGTCTGTAAATCTTTAAGGAAGCAGACTGTCTCATCTTTCTCCAGCAGAATGGTTGTTGGGTTCGAACCACCGATCTTTTGATTAGCAGCCGAATGCTTTAACCACTGTGCCATCAGAGCCCCTTATCAAAGAGAGTCATCATTTATTCACTTTTTGTACTCTGTTCAATCAACTGGTGCCAATGATTTTCCAGATGCCTTCATGCTTCTGGTATATTGAAAGAAACTTATTCTTACACTTGGGAGTCACTAGCAAAGAGTTCCCCAGTTATAATTAGTTTGCTGAATTTGTTGTTTGTCCTTGAGCTGTCACATTTCTTTCTTTCTTTTTTTAAAATTGTGGTTGGGACTAATTTGTGGGGAGGTTCCGGCAATATGGCGGACTAGGCAGAAGGATTGCACAGACCCTCTTCAACAAAGAAAAGGGAAACCAATTAACACAGACACAGAAGATAATCTTGG